AAACAAACATTGCATGATAAAATAATTGTCATAAAAACAAGAACTAATGTACGGCATAGGTTTACATTTCGTAGGCATGCACTGAATACTTGTTGAATTACAGACTGAAACAGTTAACAGCTTGACTTGTTTCTTTATAACTTTATTTATTGAAACCAGTTTTTATCATGTATCTAAAGTCAATCATAGAACTCATAATTTAATACAATTTTTGGAGGCAGGTTACTTGTAAAGAATTGTATTTTTTTATTCATATGTCCATTACCATTTTTACTTACAAAATATTAGAAACTATACATAGTAATTCTAAAAACTTTTATTTTCACTAAAACATTAGTGGTTAATTAATTAATTCTTAACTTAAATATACTACGGGTAAAATATAAGGTGTTAAGGTGAAACAAGCGAATATGAACATTGTTTAATTGTATTTTCTGATAATATAATAATATACTCGTTAATTAATTGAAAAAACTGACATAAAAGTCAAAATGAAAACTTTGGAAGTATGTATGACTCAAGCCATGGTTATTTGTCGCCAAAAAAACTAATCAGCAGGAATTATATTAGAAAGAGTAGTAACTTTGTTCTTATATACAAACCCTAAATTAGAATAGTAGGTCTCGACCATCGCGTCCACAAACTGTTCAATTTCATTGTTAATGATATTAACAAACTCTTCATGGTTGCTTTTCTTACATTTCTGTTGTAAAGTCACGAACCATTCACTGATAGAAGTATTAGCGTTCTCGGCAGGCTCAAAGCAGTGAATGTTTTTGAAGTTTGCTAAAAAACCGTTGTCAATCACGTTTTCGATTTTTTTAAACAAAAACCTGGAAGCTTTAGAAATTTTTGTCTTATAAAATCGATATTTTTTTTTATCTTGTTCGGTATACGCACTATGGGATATTATTTCTAACTTCTTCATTTGGTGTCTTATTCCAGCAAAAAAATGTTGGACCTTATTTTCAATATGATTCGCCATTTTTATCGTTTCAACCCACAAACTGTTCTGAGAAGCTTCTGATGGAACTATTCCTACTACGTATTGCAAAGCTGTAAACATGTAAGTCATCATCGGCCGACATTTTTCCACATGTTGTATCACAGTAATGAAAACTCCCCAGGAGTTCTTTTGAACGACATCTTTAAGTTTACTTCTTCTTCTTTCTATTTGGCATAACTCAAGAATGTGTTTTAAAAAAGTCAAACATCTTAGTAACACGTCTATGTATACACACCCTAACAAACGTAGTGTCATGTAATATTTTGTCTCCACGTTTTTCTCATTGACAATACGATTATCTATATCTGGTTCGTATTCTTTATTTAGGTCTAACTCATGTCCAATTTTTGTTACTAAATCTTTTCCGTTGTAAGATTCCATTTCATTGTCTGCCGGTTCCAGACACTTGGCTCTCATTATGATTAGCTTCCATCCTGAAAATTTCAGAAGCGTATCCAGTGTATTGGCAAACTGTTGTTTGTCCTCGGTTGGACACAGTGAAACTTCACAAACTGCAATTAATATAATCAGTGGTGGGATTATCAAATTGAAAATCATTTTAATGGAACAAAACTATTTCTACAAAGTAACATGTAGACTACGTTCTAATGGTTCTAACACAGCTGATTATCATTTGAGGAAAAAATGGTATAAACTATATGTTACCTTTAGCTTTTGAATACCCAAGTATATGTGTTCAATAGTATTTGTATTAGTCTATTACTATGTTTATCTAGTTGCCTTTAAAGTAAAGTAAAATACAAATAACTTATAAAGTCACATTTTTAAAAATTGCACGTTTTTTGTAAAAGCTGTACGAAATAATATTTTGCCATATTCAAAAAATTGCATTATTAAAAATAATATTGGTTTAATATCGCCAATGATTTAGATTTAGATCTCAATTTTTAAAATGACGTTCTGTGAGATTCGTGAACGTATTAATTATTCATATGCGATTTAAGATAATCTATTGTTGTTTGTGGGCAATGTGATTACACCCCATGATTATTTATAAATAAAAGTTACAATATTGTATCAATTGGACATAGTTGTTCCATATTGTATAATAATAAATAGTAAATAAATACATATTTTTTAATTCTTGATTGATCAATATTGTGTTCATTTTATTATTATGTCGAATAAAACGTAGAAACGATAATGTGATTTCTCTAGTTTTTCTTTAGAGTTTAGATATTATTATTTATTACTAGAGTACCTAATAAAAATGTAATAATCATTGTCCACCCTATAAAACTATTACCATAGTTGGGTTGTATACGCTACAAAAGAATTCTGAATTTACATCCTATTTAGCGCATTATCGGTCTAGTCTGGATGCATACCAGCATAATATGTTTTCAATTTCATAGACGCATTTATTTAATACCCTCATACCTCATTGAAGAATTAAGGCACAATTTTATGAATTGAATGCAAATCATGTTTAGCGGCTGTTGTTATTCGTTTAACATAAATATTAATTTGCTAGTATCAATCGAGACATTATCGGCTAATCTGTTTGTTTCTTATTTTATTTTTTTGTTCCATCTCCATCTGCGTCTTAGCGTTTGTCTTACACTATTTATTTTCCATTGTCCGTTGGCTTAGCTATAAACGTGATTATCTGATTATGCACACTGTTTACTACCGTGAACCGAGCAAATACAGACAATAATAATTGTAGATGTCTGTCGACCGGTCGCGTCTAAATACGGTCGACAATAATAGTTGCTATAACAATAATGCGAGGCGAACTACCCAGTTTTTGTCAATACAAATATCGCATTAAAACTATATAACTGACAAAGTAGTACTGTAAGTACTACATTACATATTTTGTTAATACTTTATTGTTATACACGTCATATGAAAAACTGTGGTGCGCTACTAGCGTTTAAACAATATTAGTAACGGGTAATATTCAATTTCAAAATACCAAGAGATTAAAAAAAAAAAAGGCATTGGTTAATGAATATAAATTCAGATTAAGAACTTAATAGGCATGGCCAGTCAAAGTCCGCTAAGTTTAGTAGGGTTAATAAAAAAATCTTTCTGCACTTAAAATACGCCAACTGTTTTGTAGTAAGATTAAAACGTAAAATGTCTTATTTTGAGAATAATAATCTAAAGATATACTACGTGTCAATTTCAAATAAGCTCTTTCAGCTGAACATGAAAATTCAAATTATGTATAGGTCAAAAATGTTGGCCACGATTTATTAGACACCCCTGTAAACATTTTACTATGTATAATGTACTTACTATGTAGCACATAGATTTAATGAATGAATAGATATTTTGCGGTTCCTTTTTGTTTTCAAGAACATCTCTTAGTAGTGGCCTGTGATTGGTCCGGTAAAATCAAATCATTGTTTAAAAAGCAAACTGAAATTATTTCTGGTTATTTTTCACCCATGGCTACTAGGTGATTTCATATCTGGTAATTTTTTTCCTATTACCTCTTGTTATAAAGATCGTTTCGATAAGTTCTTTTTTTTGGGGGGGGGAGGGTATGTAAGATGAAGTAGACGGGAAACTTAAGTAGACGGTTCCCCATCTATTGATTGGCCAACTACAAAATGTCTCAGTCAACATTTTAATTTAGACCACTCAAAACTCCTTCAGCCCCCCCCCCCCCCCACCAGGTTCACTTCATTAATCCATTAGACATCGGGGGTCCCCCTCTTCCGGATCGGCTTGGGCCGTTGGCGCGTTTAACACAGCGTGTGCTCCGTGCTAGAACTTGATTTTTTTTTTTAATTCTAGTTTTATTTTTGTCATGCATCATTTATTTGTTAATTTTTTGATTTTTTTTCCAGTCGACCGACTCGGCAGCTGTCGCCTGACGGTGACGCGGTCGCCTTGGACGAATATTGGCTATTATAGCCCCGTAGGAGTAAAAATATATATAGCCTATAAATTATTATATAAATATTATAGGAGATTATATTAAACCATAGTAGATACTGCACGGAGAGGAGACGAGAAAAACCTCGGCCGCGATCGCCGTCGCGTCGGCCGGATATCCGGGCCCGCTCCCCTCTACCGCCCGGAATTATCGGCTGTCGCGGCCGGGCAACACCACCGAGGGAAACGACCGCTCGTAGCCGTAGACACCTATACAAATACAAGCGAGGTACACACACCTCGATATTTCGCTATTATTTTCGTACGAAACGTATAAAAACATTATTATTATAATAATACAGTAGGTACAATGGCGTACAGGTGAATGACAATATTATCACATGGCGGCCTATCCGCAATATAGCGATAATAATTGGGTTACCAGCGGCAACCGCACCACCACCCTTCCACGGCACGGATGGTACACACTACACACGCTCGGTCCTCGGCACTCGCCCTTCCCGCAGCCGTCCGAGCGGCCAAGTCACCGCCCCTAGTGGTGCGGCGGCCGTAGAATGGGAACGGGTCTTTGTCTGGTGCGAGTACGTCGTACCGCGTATGTGCGCGGCAGCGGCGATGGTGACGACGACCTACAGGCTATAGCCTCCCCTCGACCCCCACCCATGTGGTCGCCTTCGTCAGTCTGCGTACAACAGCACAACTATAAGTAAGACGGCGGCGGCGGAGTTCGATATCACCGTTGGCTTTTATTATCGCGCCGCCCGTACCCGTTTACGCAGCATTACTATTGTCGTATATGCCTATTATTATTATTATAATAAAAATAATATAGTAAAAACCGACTATATACACATCTACGGTAAAATAGCGTAGAGCGCGCATAGCTGTAGTGTATAGCGTGTGTAATATTATTATTTATTGTACGGCGCACGGTAATACCGTACCGGCCGGGTGGGCCCGAGGGACAGCTGCTGCCGCGGCCGCCTCAATATCGGCCTGTAACAATAAACACAATTACCGTGCACGGCCAGCCCGCACGGTAGTTACGGGCACGTCGGCCTCACTGTGCGACCGTCGGTCGGGTTCACTACCACCTCCACGACGGCCGACGACCGAGTGTATTGCACCGAGGAGGAGAAATATAATAATAATTATTGTTAACACTACCTATTTTTCTTCCTTGTCGTGTTCGTCGCCGCCGCTCGCTACACCACACGTACAGTGTAGATTAGTGACAACAATGATTTCCGTACAAGTAGTTTTAACTTGAGTTTTTCCACTTTTCTCGATTTAGTACGTTGCATTTTTAGTAGTAATCGTCTCGTCGGTCGTCTTCTACGCCTACCGTTATTTACATATTATACACAATAATATCAACCGTTCTACACCGACCGTGATACCTATTTATTTTTCTTTCTTTCATTACCACCCGACTACTACTGTTATCGGTCGCCGTCGTCGTTATCGTGGTCGTGGTTCGTCGTCGTCGTACATCACACACGAATGTATCACCGTTGTCGCCGCCGTCGTTTGTGAAGTCCCGAGTTCGAGTGCAATAATAATTATTTAATAATAATATTTTCTAGAATCCCATTTTGTGTACCGATACGGATCTGGGTGTTTTCACACCGAGTGACCATCGTTTATCGCGGCCATCGATCATGATCGCGACGGGCGAATCTTACATTGGCGAATCTTCCGCGTGAGTAGTGTGCGGTGTCTGATGTGCGATTTGGCGTCTGGGTTGGTTTCGTACACGGCCGACCGACCGCTGCAGCTATGAGTATTACGGTGACCACCATCAACCCCGTAGCGACGGCCACCATCAAGGAGATGCCGTTGTCCCGGAATCGGCCGCCACACATCCTGTTGTCCAACGGCGGCAGCAACGGCACGTCGAGCACGTCCAACGATTCGTGTGTGTCGCAGTCGGACGATCATCTGCCGTCGTTGCTCAATTATTCGCAGATGCTCGAAAAGACCAGCGGCAGCAAATCGACGGTCAAAAAGAACGGTATGAGCTCCAAACAGCACGTCATGTGCGGTAACGGCGGTTCGCTCGAGGTTTTTGCCGACAAAATGTCGAAACCCAACAACGGTTGTGTAGATTTACTGTATATGGTGGACAAAAATGCCGGTGGTGTCAAAGACGTGCACAATAACTCCATCGGCAAAACGACCGCTTGCCTACAGCCAACACTGCCACCCCCCAACCTTGTCAACGGCAACAAGGACGACTCTGCAGCGCTCGTGCAGAGCGTCATCAAGAAGAGCCCTCGGCTGATGAACAAACCGAAAAAGAAAGGGTTCACGCCCGACTATGTGTGTAGCAAGTACAGTGGCAGCCTAAGCAAATTTGAAAAAATGGAAATCTACAGTTTTCCTGAGATTTACTTTTTCGGCATTGAAGCCGAGAAAAAAACCGGCCCCGTCAACGGTCCGCATTCAATCTATGACAACGATCAAGGTGGCTATGTGTTCGTCCAGCATGACCACGTGGGCTACCGATACGAGTTGCTCAAGGTGATTGGCAAGGGCAGTTTTGGCCAGGTGGTGAAGGCGTATGACCACAAGCTCAACGAATATGTGGCGCTCAAAATTGTTAGAAACGAAAAACGTTTTTACCGACAAGCACAGGAGGAGATCCGAATACTCGAACACTTGCGCAAGCAAGACGTCAATAACTTGATGAACATTATACACATGTTCGACAGCTTCACGTTCAGAAAACACATGTGTATCACATTCGAACTGCTATCTATCAACCTGTACGAACTGATCAAAAAGAATAAGTACCAAGGATTTAGTCTGCAACTAGTGCGAAAATTTAGCCATTCACTGTTGATATGTCTCGACGCTTTGTACCGTAACAAAATTATTCACTGTGATATGAAACCAGAAAATGTTCTGTTGAAACAACACGGCCGTAGTGGAATCAAGGTAAACATGATTTGTAATATAATATATTAACTTGCTATGAGAGTTTAACTAATCTTATTAAATTTATTAATTTTTAATAGGTTTTAATAAAATATAAGTTCTTATTCACTAAAATGTCAATAACTTAGTTTGAGATAATAATAATAAGAAAACTATCCATATAATTGGTATAATTGAAAATTATTATAAATTTGACCATAAATTTAAAAGCCCTAGATTAATTTAAAAATATATAGATAATTAAGTACCTAATTTAAAATTACTCTTTAAGTACTTCCCAAGTAGTATTTTTTACACATTTACTCACCACTATCGTCAATATGAAATAATTTTATAAATCAATCATGATATAATCTTTAAATGATTATAAATTAATTAACAAATAAACCCTTTTGTTACTGACATCCTCGTACGAGGATTAAACTTTAAAAATCGAATAAAATATTAACAATGTACTATCATTATCAAAAATTATTATAATTAGATTTGTCAAAAACAGGCGCTATGAGTATTGTAAAATTTATATAGTAATTAGGTATTAGTTTTCAAATAAAATTGATTGCCTAACATACACGCTTGTTTATGCATATAATATTAATCAATGGTTAAAGTATAGGCGACATTTCACAATATTTATTGAGGACGAGATTTTAATAATAGCAATTTATTTAAGGGTAAACTAGTATATCTTTTTTAATGATATTTTTACCAGAATCCAGTAGTTTAAAATAATCATAGCAATCGTTCGTTTTATAAAAACAGTTACATTCACAACATGCATTCATACGCATTTGATAAATTTATAGATTCCTACACAAACCACAAATCAAATAATGGGACTATTATGGAATGAAAGTAGAGATCTATTCAACGATAAAACCTTATACTATATTGGTACCAACTTGGCACCTTTGAAACAGATGACACGTAGATTTCACTCAAAAACTGACTTTACTTTGTTTGTTTTGTGTAGTTATGGTTACGACTTTGGACTTGTGTTGATGTTTGTGTGGTAAACATATTATGTATAATTATTAAGTTATTGGCATCACATAAAATCCATAGTCCCTAGTCGTTGTGCCTTTGCAAATTTACTTAAACAGATAAAATGAAGTATTAAAAATAAACGTGTTAAAATAATCAATTGAAACGATCAAGTTATATGTCAAATAAATACAATTGTTGTTTGTAATTATAATAATACGATAGTAAACATAGCTATGTTATTACAATATTAACTGTGTCGATTAGTAAAATAGTATAGCCTTAATTGATGGCATAAATGTGTATTGATAGATAGCCTTTTATGCAAATAAACAAGGTCAGATTAGTTAATAGACGACCTGCATTGTTTTAGCTTTCAACTTTTAATTTTGAAACGCCAAAAACAAATTCAAAATTTAATTTAAAATTTAAAAATTTGATACAGATTTTTAACAATTTTATATTTATAATTATAAGAAAAATTAGATCAAAGAAAAGATAAACATTTTTTTAAAGTAAGCTCGATGGTAAATTAAAACCTATTTTCGCGATGATGGAGAAAACATATGTATTCAAAATTATAATCTAAAAGTAAAATTTTCTCACTGGTAATATAAATTAATCTAAAAATAGATTACATGCTTAAAATTAATCTAAATAATTTGTTTGCTTGTATTTTAGCAGTTATATTGTCCTATAGGTCCACTCTGCAAACAAAACATACATTCAAACTACAATATTGGTAATCAAAAATTCAAATTTATACAGCTAGTACCCATGTGTATGAGTTTGTGGAATAAATTACTTATTTTTAAATGTGATTCCTGTAAAGTTTAAAAAAAAAAACACCCGATATGTGTACCCTAGCGCTATGCCTCCATTATAATTTTCTTACTAGACAATTGTAGGATAGTTTTTGTTTCATTATTCCAAATTACAGCAGAACAATAAAAAAAATGTCAAAATTTATGAGTATTTTCATTGTAATTGGTGAAGTATAAATATCTAACAATTTTGATCACCTAAAGGTAACACACAAATTATTTGTACATTATTCAATATCACATATAAAGTTAATCAGTTGATTTTAGCTTCGATGTAGAGCCTGAGAGATATTGTTTTTACAATGATATATTTTTATTTTTGTGTCTAGATCTATGATATTTTTTAAACCGCTGAATAGATTTCTTCATGTAGGAACTCTGTAGATCAGAAACCGTACCTGAAAAGTACTTTATTGGGCCGAAAATTTTAAAAGTTGGCCTTTTTCCCTTTAAAATCGAGAAAAAACGCCAAAAAAATGTACATATTGTTAAACTAAAAATTACAATACGCCAAACCTTTTTTAAAAATGTCTATTTCCAAATTTGCATGGAATATTCTTTAAACATAATAATGCCGACAATCATTGACAAATCAAATAAGTATACATTTTTTTCTATATTTCACTATTTCAAGCAAAGTTTTAAGGATTTAGGTCTGAAAATTAGACCGAAGGTAAATCTAGATTGGACATAACATAACAAACAATTCTCATAAAAATTTGTAGACCTAACTTTTTTTATAACAGTCAATTTAGGCCTCCCTAGATTACCTCAGGACTCAATAATTTTTTTTGATTACCATTATATACGTATACCTCTCACTCTCTCTGTTCAAAATTGTTTTGAATAGTATTACTATTACCACAAGCTGTGGTGCCTAATAAGGTAGTTTGCATTATTTTTTTCTAAAATTATATTGTTGATATATTTTTGGTAAATACTCATTGCAATAATGAACACATTTATTAATATTGTACGGTACTCCACAGGTGATCGATTTCGGTTCGAGCTGTTTTGAAAACCAACGGGTGTACACGTACATCCAGAGCCGTTTCTATCGGGCACCTGAGGTGATCCTGGGAGCTAAGTATGGATTGCCCATCGACATGTGGAGTCTGGGCTGTATTCTCGTTGAGTTGCTGACCGGGTTCCCGTTGTTCCCGGGTGAAGATGAAACCGACCAGCTGGCGTGCATCATTGAACTGCTGGGCATGCCACCGAAGAAGCTGTTGGACGCGTCCAAGCGCGCCAGCTACTTCATAAGCTCGCGAGGGTACCCACGGTACTGTACACAGACAACGCTACCGGATGGCACGACTGTGCTCAAGGGTAGCGTATCGCGCAAAGGAAAGCCCCGGGGACCGCCAGATTCGAAATACTTGTCCAAAGCTCTGAAAGGCTGCGACGACCCGCTGTTTGTGGATTTTATCTCTCAGTGCCTGGAATGGGACCCAGACCGCCGGATCACGCCGGCTATGGCCCTGCGACACGGCTGGTTGCGCCGTAGACTGCCCCGTCCGCCAGCCACCGAACACCAGCACCAGCAACACCATTACTCGCAGGAGAGCACCCCGACCAGTTTGCGTGTCAAACTATCCGAGTCCAATTTACACCATCAAACATTAACGTCGTTGCCCATGCATTCCAGGAACTCTCAGATATCAACGGGCAAGCTTCCACAAATCACCACATCGACGTGCATAATGTAGACTTGACGTCTGACGATCTACACGAGACACAACTTTTATTCTTAAATATCGTTGTATATTTTCGTTCGAACCTCCTACCCCTCCCCATATGGTTGTAATATTCCTGATGATGATAGAAGGTATTCATAAATGTTTTTTTTTTTTTTTAGATTTGTACATAGATAGATAGGTAGGTTTACTTGACTTTGTGAATTATTATTAATATTATCATCATTATTATAAGTATTATATATATCTATATATATAATAGGTATTTACCGATTTTAGGATCTCTCTAAGTCGGCATCATATTACGTTATGTTTGTCTCAACTATATTTTAAGATGTGTTTTTTTCCCATTCATTTTGTACTCTGTTAATATTGCGGAAATCTGAATATTATTATGTTATCTCGTCGTAACCGTAGAACAGTAGTGGCCTATACTCGTACCACTGGCTGCTGCATGCAAAAATGATTTTATTGTAATTTATATATTAATTGTATTTTATAACATAATAATTATTGTTGTCTAGATAATGAGGTATCGAGAGAGATTTATTATTATTTGTAACCGATGATGAGGTTTTAAATTAGAAACAAGCGACTATTCTCGTCATATTCTACTTCAACTCGTATAGTCTAATCCCATATTATTATATCTTGTATTTTTAACGCTTTATAAAAAAATATGAATAGTCTAAATAACTGCCTATTGTTTTTACACTATTATAGTTAGAAAAAATGTTTTATTATTACAATTTTTTTTATTATTATTATTATAAATGACATGCTTTTATAAAAAAAATTAAAACTATATTATATAATGTAATTTTTGAAAGAAAAAAAAAATTATTAGCCATTACCCTCAGATTTGCCTCTCTCTCCGATTACACTAAATAAAACAAATTCTTCTCCCGCTAAATTTTTTAATCGGTCACGTCGACCTTACGGTAATTAAATGTATTGTAAAATGGTTAACACGCCTTTCTTTTTATATTTTGTTATCTTATCAATAATAATAATTACTGTCATGATCACTGACCATTGTCGATTTAAAGTCAATTATTAAAGATTTTACACGGCGGCAATGACCAATTTTATTTTTTTTATATATATATATATGATATAATTTTATTAACTTATCATACTATATATGTGTATCTGACATTTTTGTTTCCTAAATGTGAATTATTTATATATATACATAATATAGGTGTAATAAAACGTGATTTATCTTATACTTAATAATGTAAGGCCGTGTGAACACGCTTTATTCTTGTCGTTTAACATAACTATAGTATATGTATTGCCGGCTGGTACGTTAATTGATAATATAGTATTTAGTTATAATTTATAATACGAAACAAGAAATAAGATAGTTTGTACCGCCAATACTCGGATATACTATGTATCGCGTACTTACTGATCGGTAATTATTCAACATCATTGAGTCATAATTATAACAGCGGCTGTGTTTGAATTATGATTTAAAAATTGTGATTTATTATTATATATAATTCTTTTTTCTCTCTCTTAACAATTGATCATGGCCGAATCAATCAAACGTGATATTATAATGACCATCACTACCACTACCAGTGTATTGTATTTTATTGTATATTATTAACTTTTTTTTTAGATGTCTACAAACATCTAAAGCATATCTATGTGGATACACGTGCATTTCTATAACTATGTGTGTAATAATAATATTTTATTTTTAAGGTCTAGCGATTATCTTTTTTGTAGAGGTTTTTACGCCGACATAAATTTTAAGTGATTAGCGCGAATCTACAGCTGCTGTTTGTACTGATATAATATTAATAAATTAAAATAAATTGAACTTTTTTTTTATTAAATTTATTCATTTACGTTAAAGCTTTATTGGCTTTTTGTCATTTTGTTGTTCACTTTACCAAATCTGGGCATTTTTATGACAATAATTTAAAAGTAATGAGTAATGAGATTTTTGAAATACAATATTTAGCGCATCGACTAGTTTTCTTTATTTTAAATAATTTTGTATTTTTCTTATTAAATACATTTTTATTTTAACTTCATATTTATTTGCCGTTTTAGATAATGTTTTATTTGAATATATTTTTATTGACTGTTTCAAATAATGTTTTAATTCAAATTTTTAACTTAAAAAAAATTATGTGGGAGTTAAAATTGAAAATCGTTTAACTTATGTCTTTGTTAATTAAATTCGTTCAATTACAAATTTATTTAAAATTATTATTTGGATATATGCTGTTTAGATAAAAATAAATTTGAATTTATTTGGATTTTTATTTATTCGTTTTTTTTAAATTAATGCCCAGGTTTGATCTATTGGGTTTTTTTTTACATCTTCCCAAATACTTTTTACTTTACATCTACCTGTATATTTTTAAACTTAAGTTCGTGCTTTACAGTTCCTATATCTCTTACCTATCTTCTATTATTTAATTTTCCTTCCTTCGTTCAACATGGCCAATAATCTTAAGTTATCTGATCTGTGGTACAGCAATCGGCAGCAATTGCTTTTAAAAGTCGCTGAATTTAATATTTATTAATGAATGTGATAATACCAGTTACCACATACCACAAAGCTGTCGTGAACGTTACCGCACGCTACCAGTGCGTATCGTTATCAGGTACGTGGCTTATCACAGAAGTATTGTACAATGTACATGACTCACATGAGTAAGTTTTGTACTGCGGTTCGGTTTCCCGTTTCAGAATAAATTATATTAAAATTTAAATACCCAACAGTAAATAATTGGTTTTAAAAATGTTTAAATTTAAGTTTCATCAACTGACTAGTAATAATGTATTATTGAAAAACAAAGAACAAGTCGTCGATAGTCACAGCCCTCTACTACCGATGTCACGACTTCCACAGAGATAAAAAAAACAGAAAAATAATTTGCTGAAATCATAATAACTTTTGTCTTGAACAAGCAACGGAACTTTGTGTACCTACAAAGCGGTATGCATTAAACGGAATAATAATTTACAATACCTTAATTATCTACAAGTTATGGAAAGCCATATCAATTCTTTACGAATTCAATGAGACTTTGCTTTCAAACTAGTCTAAAGTAAAAATAATAATAACATCCATATTTTGTCAACGAGTTGTAATTATGGAGTAAATCGACTTTAAAGTAAACGAAATAGATAACAAAAAATTATTATCCACTTATTGTAAAGTGCAAGATGAAAAGTAATGCCTGGGTAAAAAAGTATTTATACAGACTCCACACCTAAATTTTGGTGTTAAAACTACATGACTTTTTAACTCAAATTTGATTAATAGATTAATAACACAGGGTACTATACCGTTAATATTAATTTTACTGGTTTTAGCCAAGAGGATTAACGCGGCAGTTCTTCTACGCACTATCCATGGTTGGAATCTGTCGCTAACCGTTTCTTTCTTGTTAAAACAAAAGTTGGCAAACCGACTTATAGAGGTAGAAAAAATAAAAATAAAATTGTAAACTATAATACACCATAAACAAGATACTTTCTTTTATTGTTATATTTTTTTGGGGTATCTTTTTTCATTAATATTGAATAACTCGCGTTGCAATCATTTTGTATAGTTAAACTGTATTAATTTTTTATGACTAAATACAATTAACTGTATATGAAATATATGGTACGGTTATAAATTAATTTATACAATTTCTTTCTTTGTGCAGGTATACGAGTCGTGCAACTATGCTACACACATACTCACGATTGCTAACGATCCAAAGCGATACTGGTTAAAATGAACTCTTATGACAATATCGATTCAGGAATTGATTACAGCGTAGAATTATAATATGTTATACGTAACAATAATCATAGTACCTAAACTACTGATACAGCTCGGTGAACAAACACTGGACCACTCTGCGTCAACACTGAGGACGTGCAAAATGTGGAGCACATCTTTGACAAAATTGAATAGTGCGTATGGAGCTAATGCTCGAAATAATTACTTAAGTCATCCACGTTATTTCTGTTTACTGTTTTCCAGAGCTCGACTCCGCATAAGACATCATTTTCTTTTAAGAACTACCATGAAACCTGTCAAAGACGGAATCGCACAGGTCTAACAAACAGTTGCGATTGAGGCTGGTGTAGCGCAGTAGTCATTGTGCTGGCGATTACGTGTACTGTTAACGGTTCAATTCCTGTCACAGAGCATCAATTTGCGAGACTACAAGTGTCGCCTTCCAATTGCAATACACCGTTTCCCCTGCTCAGGATACACTCCACTAGAAGTGGCGTCCACATGCATAGTTATCCAAAAGGATTTTACATATTCTTTAACTGCTTTATAAATTGTGTTTTAGGTATATTTATTTCCTCAATTTTTTTTCAAAATATATACTTCTATATCATTGTCTTACTATTTTTTTTTTTTATTAATTAACATATTAAGGGGTTCAATTATTGGTTTAAGTTTTTCATTTAATTGCCATTAAAATGTTAAAAAAAATTTAATTAACTCAATAAACCGATTTATGTGGGGTTTGATATTTCAGACATAATTATCTAAAGTAATTAATTACCATTTCCATTATAATTTTATGATTTCAAAGTACGATAAAAATTTTAATTTAGTCTATTCAGTTACTGATAGCTTAGCTTACGAGGTTGTAACAGATAATTTTGTATCAAAACCTTATACATTATGCTATTTTAGAGTAATATTATGACTCAAACATTAAACGAGTATTTTGTATGTAACTACAAAACAAAAAACAACGTATATTAAGACATTTTGAAAAAATAGCAATTAAATTCAAAACAGCTTATAATAATTATGTTTTAGATAATGAAACTGTACAATTTTCAAATTATTTGTTTTTTATTGAATCTTGCGTCGATAATATATATATTAGTGCATACAAAAATACTTAAATTATTATTTGAGATACGTTTTTATCGTAATGCTAACATATTATTAAGTGATTCCATTATTAGTTGAAATGTTTCATTAAATGTATATTCAGAATCTAAAACTGTTCGTTCTGTGGGAATGGTTCAATTATTTATTCTTATATTTTGATGTCTAAAGATTATCGCATATACATTGGTAATTATTTTCAAAGAAAAAACATCTTGCGTTAAATGGATCACCACGTGTATGCAAAAAGTACAAATACAAACTAATACATTCTTTTTGGTTGATTATGTTATTTCAAAATGGACCGAAGCAATAATTATAATAATAGTTACGTCGAGATCGCTACAAGACCTCAGTAAATATGTGTAATATCTTAATATTTTATTATTTGGCCATATATTTAATGTCTTACTAATATCATCAAACTTGTAGACATATAAAAAAAAACATTTAATTTGTATTCAATTAAAAAACTGTAGGTACATGAATGGAAATAGAAAATACATTTAAAAATACAGTAACATTTGTAATACAAACTATGTATTATGATTTGACCATTTGACTAACTAATAACTATATTTATACAAAAAAAAAAACATTACCAAACTAAATTTATTAAAAATTTGTTGTTATTGAATTGATAGAACTAAATTCAACTATAATATCAGTCTAGATTAGATTATAGCTGCCCGATACAGACCATTGATGGAACAACAATTTACCATCGCTATAATAGACTTGCATATAAATTTTAAAAAATTAATGGTTTGGTGAACATGTTATAGTTTACTATTTTCATATTGTTTTCAATAGTTTTGTACAACATAACAATGTAGAAACTCAGTTTGTACTAATTTATTGTGAGTTAAATGTTAACATGCCTCAAGCTCTAAAAAAAAAACAATTATTTGAGGATGGGAGGGGGAAGCAAATAGTTTAGTTTTTAAATGACACGATTAGTTTTTGCATTATTTAAAAACCCGCCTTAGAGTGATTTTTTCACTATAATTCAAAAAATTAAAAAAATGCAATGTTTAAAAACTAAACATATATTATATTGTATAAAAAACTAAACAAATAGTATAGACATTATTTTGTTCCTATTCCTAATAGGTATAGGTATTTAAACTAGTTCTATATCAACTGTGCTAATAATTGTTATTGAAATTTACAAAAATATACTGTCTTGAGTTAATTCGATTATAAAAATATATATTATAAGCCAACTTTCTGTAACTTTGTTGTTTCGATGTTTATGGAAATGTTTGTTTTTAGGCTAAATTTTTGTTATGAAAAAAAAAATTCCCCAAGCTACATAATAGTATAAGTAGGCCAATCGGACTGACTCAAGGAAGACGACTTTGTTTAGCACATCCCATTTTATATATATTTTACAAAATTCCATTGCATTATATAATTGTTTTATCGTGCATATAGTATAATATTACACCTACATTATTATACTTCACTAGGTCCTCGACGGTTATTCCAAATTATTTGTTTGTGATCCCCGCAAACGCTCAAGATTTAATTAAAACGCCTTCGCTTATATCGACCAACGCAAAACGTTTGCTTCCTGAATTCAACGGATAGGTTTACATATTGTATCAAAGGATACGATATGTATTATATTAGAGACCTGCGTTTCCTGTTCAAATACGGGTTGGAATGATGTTATTATACCGCCTTTGATCAGTATTTCCTACCTATAGGGTTTTATCTGCCAGGTCAACCGTTTTTTAATATATTTTATACCATGTCAGCGGTTGTCGGTATAGTTATTAGTCATGATTGAAAAATTAACATTTCTCGTAGGTAGGTACACACGAATAAAGTTGTTGGCGATTTAAGAAATAATTTGTGTTTGTTTAATTATTATGCACTTATTAGCTGTTATTACCTGCACGTGCTATTAAAAACGTGAGGAATATTTTACAAAAACTGTTTGAAAAAAAGAAAATTAAAAAAAAAACTGTGTTCAATATAATTTGTTTGTAAAATACAAATTCGTTTTCAATTTCCACGGCTTTTGGGAGTGTAATTTAATTTTCATACGTGGGATTAAATTAAGAGAGAGAGCAAAATGTCTGCGAAAAGCCTTTTTCTCGGTACAAATAATAATACAAGAACGTCAGTTATGGCACGTGTCTCTCTCTCTTGTCTTCCTCATAGGGCTTCATCATTTAAGATAATGAAATATTTATTTCTCAGAAATTAATACACGTCGGGTTCAGTTGAAAATCCTAAGTCCTTGGATTAATGAAAACACTGCGTGCATTTCCGTTATATAATTATTTATAACATACAGATATATGCGCAGTGGGAACCTAAAATAAATGCGAAATTTATATTATATTATGCTCTATATATTACTATGTCTTTAGCTATAACTACCATACCGGGTTTCGGCGAAACGTGGTCTTGACGTTTTCAAATCCCAGAAAAATAAGATAAATATTATTATTACTATATTTGGCAAACGTTCAACCACCCCCCCCCCCCCCCCACACAGAGCGTTTCAACACAGTAATAAGAATAATAATAATTTCTTCATTTCCTAAATCCTAGCTTGTATATCTTGTACACCGTGTAGTATTATAATAATATATTCCACGCGGTATTAAATTGTGTAGGTACACATCACATATAATATATGTACAACAATATAACACAAGCTGTGTATTGTAAAGATGTGTGTTAGCAATTTTGCAACACCGAAACGTGCGGCGTTTCTCCTCGAGAAGATTCGATATTAGAGTTTCCAGGAATAAGATGGGAACTTATTATTCGTGTGTGAATAGCTACTGTACATACATATGTGCACAATGCGAATCATCGAGTTGGTTGGTTCGGATGAATATTTGCATTAAATTACATCACACACACAATATAGTACGATATTTACAATCGTCTATGTGTATAAAACTGCCGTCGATCCGCCACGGCAAAGGTATATAGCAATAACAATAATATCCGAGTGTGTTTCAGAAACACATTAAAATTTACTTCATATACGGAAAAAGAAAAACGGTTATTTCGTGTTGCCCTAACGTTGATGATAAGTATCGAAAAGTTCCACAGCAAAAGTTTGCACTTATATTTCAAGCATAACAACGGTCTGATACATAATTTTCTCATTTCTAGGTTCTGCTTCTTTGTACCGCTATAATATATAGGCTTAAACGACATCCACGGTGAGCTCTGAGATTTAGCCGTAAGTTAAATAAAAACCGTCAAGCACCGAACGTTTTTTAATAAATATTTTTCTTTCATATATTTTGATAATCTTATCGAAACGGCGTTACGGACACAGCGCTGTATCGAAATTGCATAAGCGAATCGCCGCATTGGAATTTGTTTGATAGGCAAAATAATATTATACAAACACATTATATTATAATATAATGTTATGATATTATATTATACATTATACAATTTGATTTAGTTTAACAGTAGGGGAAAAAAATATTTTTTTTTTTAGGAAAATTAAATAACTTGTAAAGAACATTGTTGGCTTTAGAAATATTATGGTTGACCGTATCCTATACCTATATTGACAGGCTAGTTGTATTTTCCAATTCAAAACCAAGTGAATTTGACATTTGTTATGCAAATATCGTGTGCTGCGATTGATACACAAGAGATTTGGTATTTTCTACAATATAATAAAGCAGCCACAAGCAGAGCCGAGTATATAACTATATTAACTGTTGCGGTGCCAACGTTTTTCACGGGGTAAGCCATTATCTTGTTATGTCGGTTGTCGAGTCAGCGTTTTTTTTTTTTTTTTATTCAAACCGCACGAGTACATTTCTATTCTGGTTTTTCTCCCCCAAAGAAAACCCACCGAGGTATGAAAAAAAAAAAAAATATATATATATGCATCATTTCGAAAACCAATAAACGCGCGGAACGTGTAAAAGCGTAAAGCTTCGACAACAGGATTTCAGTGAAAATTCAATTGCAAAATATATAACAACGAAAAAGAAGGGAAAAAAAATACTGGTCTTTTGTTACTTTTGTCACGGAAATTCGTTATTAAAATCATAATATGTTCTTCGACGTTTTGCCCAGCGACACTTGACAATCTTTAATACAATTTAATATTATATGTATTGAGAAATATATTTGTTACATATTATTAGATTTTTGCTTGATCGAAACCGTTAATCGAATTCGGGTTTGGAGACGCTTGTAATTTTTTTTTTGCTCTGCTAATAAAATGTCACAAATAAGTTTACACAGAATTGAACTCGCACGAGGTACCTACGATTACTGTAATAATTGTTTTTTTTATTATTATTTAATGATAACGCATTCGCGATCCTTTAAGCCCGTCAAAGCTACTTGTACAATATGTCGACCCGACCGACTCGATGACAACCGCAAAAAGCCAATGCAAGACCAGCCGGTAATCCCGCGAGAGATATTCCATTGCAGACTTTGGCGAATAACATAAATAAATAAAAATACCATTACTGTGTCTAAATACCATATTATTAATAAACGAGGCCACCGCAAAGCTCTTACTTTGAACGTCTGGTAAAAGTTTGATAATGGAGACTTATGTATTTTATACTAGGAACTGTATAAGGACTCGAACAAAAAGAGTTCTGAAATACGAAATTTGAGAAATTCAAGTGTTTACAGCTCCTAATAAAAATAAGTCTCTCTTAACCCAAACGTTTATCAAATGTTCTACATACCTACATATTATAAGTGCTACGCAAATTTTAAATTTTTAGTTCAAGCTCTAAAAAGTTATAGGCTCATAAATATAGCACTTTTTAGTAAAAAACCAAACTTTGAAATTACTTATACAACATAATAACAAAAAAAATGTTCCAAAAAATTATGAATCAAAAGTGTATAGTTAGAGTCGGGCATATTTTATTC